AGGAAAAGTCATGTCTCTTACTTAACTTTGCAAGAGTGCACTGCAAAGCATTAATAGCTGCATTACCTTGTTAATAAACTTCAGTCAAAATGCTTTGGGAGATAATTTGATTAAAAAAAAGAATAAAAAACACCGAAGCTGAAATATTGCTTTTATAAGCTGCAAGATCAATTCACCATGTGCTTTTTTAATCAACGGAAATATATACATTTAAACAGAAAACACAGATGATTTAGCATTCTCCCATATCATGTCAGTGAGCATGATTAGTTCTTTGTAGTTTTTTCTAATACTCTCTTGTGTTCTGACTTATGGGGGTGAAACTTTCCATGAAAAATGTGTGCTACTTTTCCACTTTTGGCCTGTGTGTGCTGCTTCTCTGCCTTAATTACAATATAAATCAACTGAAAAAAAAAAAAAAAGATTTACAATGATTACACCTCACTTAGAAAACTGTGAAGATTGATCTGGAAGTGGTATGTTTGTCAAGCTCTGTGTCTACTTTTCATCTTCGCTAATTCTAAAGTGAATCCCAGGACAGCATATGGTAGTATTCAAAAAGAAGGAAATGTGGGAGGAAAGAGTTCTGGTGCATCACTCTACTCTTTGTATTCTCACTGGATATGCCTAATAACTTACTCTCAGAAAACTTCAGGGCAAAAGACTTCAAGTAACTATGAACTTCAAACCCATTCACTACATCAGGAGAGAAAAGCACCAGAGCTACTGAACTGATCCCTGATAATCTCCCATTTTCTCTCTATGTAGTCAACTGGATAGTAATTGGAACAGAAATCTTCTTGGTTTAAATGGGTTAATTTTTATCACCACTGACAAGAATGTGTTAAGGACCTATATTCAGGTCATTATCCTAGTTTCTTGGAGAGATGTTAATCAGTCCTTACTCTTAGAAAGTTTGCCTTTTTCGCTGAGGCAAGTTCATTCATTAATGTGATTACACCAAAGCAAAACACAAACAATTAAGAAACAAAGCTGACACAATATAATATGTTCTTTCATCTTTCTACTTCCTCAAAATTTTGGAATGTGTCGAATTTGGGTTTAAGTTCCGTAGCTTGACCTAACTTTCCATACCTCTGCAGACATCTGTCCTGTCCACCCCATTGATATTCAAGCAGGTTGGTGCCACTGAGGTCTAAAGGATCAAAGAGACGAAGTAGCATGCCTTTTTAGATTTCTTTGTGTTGGGTTTCTTTGAAGGAGTCTTTTTATAACTTGACGGCTTTGTTTAAAGAGTGACCTCAGTGATTCATTCTTGATGAAATGTAATATATAATAAAGCCTCTGCTAATTTATTAGGTCAGTTATTTGCTAAATTGCCAGTACATCCCTTTTGAAATGGGCTCCTCTTTCCAAACAGCACTCCTGAAAAATCATATTTCCTGTTCAGTTGTTCCCTCCTTTTATTGTTTTCTGATAGCAGAATGTGCCTGTTGAATAGTCAAGCACCAAAGATTTTCACTCTCAGCTCATATGAGGACTCAGAAAGGAATGTAATCATACTTAAAAAATAAAGTATATTCTCAAATCTAGAAATTAGCTAGTAATTGAAATTATCATCACAGTGTTTTAACTGATGACCATTGAACTCTTTTCTGCCAAACGGCTCATAGAGCATTAATTGCACGTCACATTACAGATCTGCAGAGTTAAGTTCTGTCTTGCCCTTGGGACTGTGAGGTCTAAAGCAACTTTGTAAGTGTCTTTCAGGGTACAAAAAAAAAAAATCATCAAACCGAAGAAATTCTATTTGGTCTGTGAAGTGTGCATCTCACTGTCCTTTCAAATGTCATCCCCTGCCCCTCAAATCCATATTATTATTTACCGCTTTTCAACCCTGCTGAGAAACTCCACCTCCTTCTACCGTACCACTCAAATATCTTCCTAAGAACACTCCAGAAAACCATATCCTACATAAAGCAAAACTAAAGGGTTTGGATGTTGATTTCATTTCTTCTGATCAATGTTTACATGGGGACAAACTAGATTTTTTTTTATAGCCCCGTATACATTTTAATGGATTATTTAAAACAGATCATAATAGTGAGTATTCACAGTATAAGAATAGGATCCTAATTTAAGAACAAAAAATAACTTTCTCCCTGGTATCCATCTGTAAATTCTATTACTAGATATAATATCTGCATTATAAAGTTTACATAAAGCAAAAGAAGACAAGTTGATAAAAATTAATGAAAAGTAACTTTGAAAATGCAAGTGTGTGTAAAACTTAATACAAACACAGAAATAGAAATCTTATTATTTCAAATTTCATTCATTCAAAAATAGGCTTTTTTTTTTCCTTAAATCATTCAGGGCTTGGATTTGATCTTCACTATGAAGGTTTTTTTTTAACTTCTCTAACCACTAATTAAAAAACAATGCTGAAGAAAAATCTACTAACTTAAGCAACTGGACTCTTTGAGCACCTTAGAAACTCTCCTACATATCAAGAATGTAATTCTAATGCTAATTTAAC